ATTTGTTGCCATCATCATTCTCAACACATTTGCTTTCTACTTGAGCCCTTGGTATCAGCTCCTCATTTTTCCCTTCCCTTCCCACTCCCCCCTTCCTCATGAACCCTTGATAATTTAGTTTTCAATGGATGAAGCGACACTGATGAGAAAGGCATGAACTAAAATGGTGACAGGAGACAAGAGGCAAGAGAGGAATTCCTTGGGAGACACCAGAATGTCTCTCTCTCTCTCACAGGAAGGAAAGACAGACTGAAGGCTTTCCCCCCGCCCCAGATATGTATGCTGGGGGACGAGGGAGGGCCCTTACCTGGCCGCAATGAGATCCAGGAGATGCTGCCACCGGTCATTGACCTTCCCCAGCTTGTACTCGATCTCGGATGCCTTGCTTTCATTGCTTGCCTTCGCGAGCCGTTCGCCCATTTGCTGCAGCTGTATTTTGTTCTCTTGGGCAACAGCAATTTCCTCTTGATAATCCTATGTAATAAGTGGCAATCGCGGAGGTCAGAAAGCATACTTTGAACGCATTCAGCTCCACTCCACTAGAAACACAACAATCACAGTTTCCTCCTGATGGGAAGCAGAAGCAGACGAGGAAGACCACAGAGAGGTGGGCTGATGCCGTGATGAGAGCACCAGAGAACTTCCTTGCAAGACGTTGAGCCCCCTCAAAAGAAGCGAACACAAGAAACTCCACTTTAGAGGAGAAATAAAGGGTGACATTGGGGCCCAGCCAAGAAGTTGGACCATCGCCAAGAATCAACAGCTGGTCCAAGGAGCCGACGCAAAAGTATGGGGAACCCCAATAAGACTTGGCTGAACCTGACGGATGCCCCAAAGCCAGCCAAGCCACCTAAAGTGTGAAGAAACCAGATCAGACTTGACTGGGACATTGGTGACATCAAAGAGCCAGCCAAGCTGTCCATTTAAACCCGGGTAGAAACACTGACTTTTTAGAGAGCTAGGAACCAAGGATATTAACTCCTGCTCTCTCCAACTCTACCCGGGTGAGTACACCCATGAAGACAATGCTTGTTGGGACGATGTTCTTGGATGATATGTGTGAAGAATGCTGTTATTATGCCCTTATGCTCATGCTTGCCCCAATACTTTTATCCTTCGTAGTTTGAGTTATTTTTAGATTGTTTGATGTGTCTTTGCAGTGAATCAACCGAGCATTTGAAAATGTCTAAGAGCGTTAAGTAATTCTTGTAAAGTAAATCGTGCCGCTCATGGCATGCAGTGACTGCAGCTCCAGGCTCAAGCGTAGCAAAGACGGGGAGGAGGTGCAGGGCCCATGCTCCGTGTTGTTGTGATCGGTGACTGGGAGTCAGAACGAATCCGACTGCACCAATCACAGCAGCAGTGACTGCCTATAGTTGGGCCATGAGGGACACGATATGACTATCAGTTCATGGTGGAAGAATTGGCACTACCTATTATTTTTAGGATGTATGTAGAGTCAGGATTGGATATTTATCTGTTGCTCTTTCTAACCCAAAGTGAAAACAAAAACAACCAGATTCACTGCCATGGAGTCGATGCTGACTCATAGCAACCCTACAGGAAGGAGTGGAACCGCCCCTGTGAGGTTCTCAGACTAGAACTCTTTGCAGGAGGAGAAAGCCCAGTCTGTCTCCTAAGGAGTGGCTGGTAGCTTGGAATTTCCCCCCTGGACGATTGAAGTCCAACTCACAACCCACTCCACCTCCGTGGCTGTGTGGTTGGGTGTAGTGAAATTGTTTGCGTGCCAAGCCCTCCTAAGTACAACAGAGCGAAACAATGCTTAGTGCGGTCCTGCACTGTCTTCACGAGTGACGTTTGAACCCGAAAGACAACAGCACTCTTAGTTAGTTCGATGCTGTTCTCACAATCCCTGTATCCACTGTCTCAAAGCATCTCACGGAGAGTCTTCCTCATTTTTGCTGGCCCTACAGATGGCCATGAGGCATGTTCTGAGTTCATGTGACTATATAAAATAATTAAATAATACATTCAGCATGTGACAATACTAGAAAGCCAAGATTCTCAGAAAAACCCTCCCTCCTGCCAATAGCTAAAAAATATGTTTAAGAGAGATATTTTATTTTAATGACCCGAGGAATTAGTTCTCTTACTTCCTCTAGGACAGCGGTTCTCAACCTTCCTGACGCCGCAACCCTTTCAGACAGGTCCTCATGTTTGGTGACCCCCAACCATCACATGATTTTCACTGCTACTTCATCACTGTCATTTTGCTTCTGTTATGAATTGGGCAACCCCTGTGAAAGGGTCTTTCGACCCCCAAAGGGGTCGCAACCCACAGGTTGAGAACCACTATTCTACAGTGCTCTTATTTAGGAGGGTGGGGGAAGGGGAAGGTGGTAAAGAATCTGGAGGGGTTTTTTTTTTCTTGATGAAGCAATTTTTATTTTATTGCTTTAAATTTTAAAATTTTGTTCATGTCAAACCATTCTTATTTTTGTCTCCCACCCCATCCCTCCCTTCTCCCTGTTTCCACTTCCCTCCCTGGGCTCTTTGTAGTCATCAGAGTCTTATATATTGGCAAATAGAAACCTCTACAGTTGTTTTAAGGAGTACTACTCTATATATGTGAGACAGAAATGTAAAAACACTTCCACAGAAGTTTTTACATTAAAAGACAAAACGTTTTAACATGATTGTGAGTACAGTTTTCTTCTCACAATTATGTCTATTTATCTGCTAGAACTGTGTCTTAGCATCAAGAACACTGAAATATACATATAGCAAGGAATCTCATACCTTCTTGAGTTTCTCTATCATTTCTTCAATGAGAATGTCTCCATTTTGAGAAACTTTGCTTTCCATTTGCGTCAGCCATTCACAAAGCTCCTTGTTCTTTTCACTGAAGATGGCCCATTCATTCAATCTCTCACTTACTTGCTGACGTCTTAAAGAGAGCTGAGGGTTTAAATGGGAGAGACGATTTAAAAGGATGACCAGGAAGCACAGCTTGATAAAATATTCATTCAACTCTGGTGGGTGCCCTGAAATGACCAATGGTTGTGAATCTCTTGGGGTCACTGGTTCCCAAGAACAGTCCTGGGAACACAGGTCTCTGGCAGTGTCTCACAGAAAGGATGTGCCTTGACATACAACTGGGGACACGGGATGGCACCATCCTCTCCTGAGTATCACAGCTTATACGCACATGGTAAGGATCTACTTCAGACAATAATCAGTTCAACTTAAATATGATATATTATGAATACACTTTTCCTTAAATCAAGGAAAGATTAAATGAGGCAGGAAGGAGGGAAGGAAAAAAAGGTAGGAGAGAAAAGAAAGAAAAAAGAAAACCTGAAAAGAAAAAGAAGGGAAATGATCAAATTAAGAAGAAAAAGCAAGGAAGGAAATGAGACGGGACGGGGAAAAGGAAGGAAATAAGAAGAAGAAATCAGGGAAGACGGAAGGAAACGGAAGTAAGAAAAGAACAAAGAAGACATAAAATAAGGAAGGGCGGAATATGGAAAATGGAAGCCAGAAGGAAGACATACTGGAACCCCGGGTGTTTAGAGAGCAAGAGGGAAGAAGGACCCAGGGGTTAGAGACCTGCAGTGGAAGGACCCAATTCCTGTGGGTCAGCTCTAACACGGACAAGTGTACGTCCATTTCTTCCTTATCTTCCTGTTTTCTTTGTTAGATTTTTTTTCACTTTCTTCTT